GTCTTATGCAAATAAACATACAGTAGTTCCAAAACCTTAAAAACCTGGGAAAGCTGGAAATGTCCACCATTCCTTAAGCTGAAGCGCTGCTCCTGGGCAGTGCTATAATATTGACTAAAGGTTCTGTTTACCAACATACATTGGGTGTCACAGTTTTTCAGCACAGTTTTCTTGTTGCTCCAGTGACAATAGGGATGGCTTTAAAAAAGGGGGTGATGTGAGATTTGTTTGTCTTTATTTTCGTTCCACAATAGCTATCCACTACTAAAAAAGTAAAGATTTACACTATTTATAGCCATTCTGATAATGTCAGGCATTACGCTTTATTTTCCAAATCATTAGCATGCACAAGAATGACCTCATGGTGAACAGATGCACTTGGATATGGCAGTGATTAGATCAGTCCTCTCAGCAGTCAAGTGTGCCCATTCCAATTAACCCTTTGAAGCACTAGCTGCAAGTCTACAAATACTAAAAAGCCTGTTTGCAGGTACAATTTCTAGGGTCTCCTGTCAAAACAAATCTACCAATCTAAGCATCAAAATGTCTAACACGAATCGTTTTCTGAAGAAGCTGTTGTTCATAAAGTCAAAAAATGGATTCTCTTTTCTAGAACTTTCTATTACTTCCATCTCCTGGGAGTTAAAACCACCATTGGGTTTCTAGTTTTAAATTGCAACTACATTTTTTTTCCATCAGCAAGGATAAATAGATTTGAAAACATAGTTTGGTACCTATTAATACAGATTTAATATCCGTTTAGAAGGACATACTTGAAATGATACACCAACAAACTGTACCTTCTCAAGTATGTGCACAACACCACTTTTTCTGTAAAAATTAGCTTTGCTACTTTGAGAAATGTAGGAGGGAGAAAAGAAGGAAAGATGGTAGCTAAAAACCCCTTCCCAAATGGAAAAATCTGCAGAGGAACAGGATAAGAATAATTAAATAGTGTTGGATTACTAAGGATTTCCTGGGTTGACTCTCATACACAGCCTAATTAAAATAAGTCATGTAATGTACCAGTTTAGTAACAAAGGACCTTTTCCTCAGCTTTTGTTCCTAAATCTACACAGACCCTAAATGAGTTCAAGGGTGTTCATTCTGCCTGCTGTTCTGTATTTCCAAGTCTAAGAGACAGGGATGTTTATTGCTAGGTATAAGGAGTTTTAAGGCCTTGCTCCTGAAAACACTTATAGAGGATAATGGAACTACAGCTATGGATAGATTTAAGCACCTGCACACCAGTCTATGGGATAGGAGGCTGAGACACTGAATACTTTACCACCCTTATCACGTGAGCCTGGGGGCAACATCTATTCTGCAGCAACCGACTGTTTGCTAATATTCAGAGTCCGTGTCAGAAAACATAAAGCATGTTTCATTCAAATAAATAGGTCATTATTAGTAATATGCCAACTGTCTGTGTTATTAACAGCTACATTTTTTCAGTACAATGTGTATTGTTATGCTTGGATATGAATCTTACATTGCATGAAGTCTTAAAAAAATCCTAGATATACCAGAAGTGTACTGTAACTTGCTGATCTCTGGGATTCTGTATTTGTGTATATGGTGATCATGGGATTATGATTAGGTGATGGTGAAGATAAGGTTGGGGAAGAATGGATCCTAAATTCACCATGAAAGCTCATGCCAGTTAGGGTCAACATTCCCACTTGGTTTGTTGCTTGGAAGAGGAAAATATAGGTAAACTGCCTGCTTTGCCAGCTCCGCTCCTTTTTACGCGACTCCTTTTGCTGTTTCAGGATGGGAATCCCCTTTAAATTAAGTAAAATATTATTACCAGGCATCAAATTTCTTAAGTAGCAGCACACTACTTTTACACAAAGTGCACAGCTACACCTGTGTTACGCATGTATGTGAATTAGTCAGACTTCTAAAATGTATCGCACATAGGGATAATAGACTACATGCCTAATATTTGCAGGCTGTAATAATCACTGCTTCTATTTGCTCATACTCAAACTGATTGTGGGAAGACCTCATTTTAAAACAGACTTCCTTAGCTTTTTCTGGATGATGATGTGAATGAATAAATACAAACATAAGTTCATTAGATACATTTTGGATCAGCTTGTTTTTTATCTACCATAAATGAAAAATTAAACTTTTCTACATCTGCACAAAAGGATACAAACAGATACTACTATGACTCTCTGTTATTATACAATGAATTGATAATGCAAGATCAAATACAAAGTACCAGCAATCTAAAATGTCAGGAAAATAAAAATGTTTTATACTAATCCAGATGTGCCTGATCTTGCAAGGGGACCTGAGTGAGCAGACTACTGTAGTCATGTGGAGCAGCATTAACTGCCTGAAGAATCAGGGCCTACGATGAAGCACACTAAGACTATCCAGTAACAACTGTAGACTTACATCCTTTATGTCTAATTTCAATATTGACTTAACTCCTGGAATTATTTATGTATAGTATTTGCCAAAAAGCAGGTAACCATGTAATCTAGTAATAGAAAATCATTGCAGTTCTGATATTGAACACTTCAGCAACTAAGTAGTCAAAGGGATAAAAGTGGATAGATGTTCTTTTAATCAAAGAAGGGGGAACTTTTTTTTTTTTTTAGAGATGTTGATTTCCATGTCTCTGTAAACGCTAATATGACAAGTAATTACCATGAGCTATGGAGTTGTCTAATATGGAAGATTTAATTAAAAAAATATTCAAGAAGTCTTTTCTTCTTGTTCAAAACCTCATCACATTGCATTTTCAAAAGCCCAGGATGAAATTAATACCATTTTCTTCATTAATCTTTCAATATGCTTTTAAAAGAAGTATATACTTTCTGGTAACACTCTACAGAGATTTCCTTATGTCAGAACACCCTGAAACACAGTTCACGGAGAGGGAAATATGGGAGCCTAGCAATGGGATGCTTCTACATTCAAGCCTGAATCTCAGTTTAGTGCCTCTGTAACAGGTCAAACTAAACTCACAGCTCTAGACACCTCACTGCTTTGGGAACTTGTATTTTGGAATCTGATTCAGCCAAAAATAATCCCAACTGTCCTGTTTTTTATGTCTCTGAACTATTACATGTGCTCCAAACTCTAGAAGGATGAAAATAAGGATCTGAATTTTGTAGTAGGTTTTGCTGTTTCAGAAAAATTAAAATCACAAAAACACTGAACTCTATTCAAGCACCTAATGACTATTCAGCAACTTTTCTGAATAATTTAAACAGATCTTAAACACATAACATAAAATGTATTAGTGCATGCTTGTAGCATATGTAGCATACAACATGTATTAGAGAATTTAAAAGTCCTACTATTGTATTTTCATATCAATTTGTCTTTTCTTGCTATGCTTAGTTTGGTCAGAATAAGATGAACAAATTAGGTACAAAAAGATACTGGATTGTAGACTAGAAAAAATGGTAAATACAGTAAGTGTGCTTAAAGTAAAATTCAGCCAAGATGCTTGTATTTTTATTTGCTAACATCTGACAGATAAATGATTCAAAATACCTAATAAAACTGGGTATGAAATCTACGTTGCTGTGGCAATTGATACTTTTTTGTCTCAGAGTATTGGCAGAGTGTATAAAAGAATTTAGTGCACAGCTGTTCTACTTTTTAATGTAGAAAACATTAATCAAAGCTTTAAGTTATAAGCTTTTCTAATGTTGTTTAGTATTCCAGTTCAACAAAGATCAATAGAGGCCATCCCTGTGTTTCTTGACGCCTCTCCAGGAAGCAGAGGCACGATTATGTAAATAACACTGGTTCCCCTTTACTTCTGCCAGCTTGCTTATCTCCAAAGCCTTCTGCCTGCTGCTACTGGCGACCAATACAAGTACATGCATACACCTCTTATCTCCTAACAAAGCTCTGAAAGCTCAAGGATTGGAGCCAGTAATGTTAAACAATGATGCATGGCTGATTTTATTTGTAAGTGATTTATTTCAGCAAATTTAAATTTCGTTTTTCAATTTTTCAGTTTAGATGGAAGATATTTGTTAACGAGTCAGAATAAAGAGAAATAAGGCACATGTCCTGAAACAGTTATAGGGGTTTGGACTAATCTATTAAACAATCCAAAAGAGTCTCATGAAATAATTAGAAAGGGCCAGTGTCACCAAATGCATGTAAAAAAAAAATGGATTAGGGAATCTTTATATGAAGGATGCCATCAGGCACTGACTACACACTTTTTATAAGAGCAAAAATCTACCTGGAGAGTGCCAGAAGCCTCCATTTCAGAATGAAAGTTTCCCTTTAAAGCACATTCATTCAAGAATATTTAAATGGCAAAATTCATAGTTCATTCACTGTTCAAGCTAATTTTAGAGCTTAATATGTCACACGGGACAAATTAACTGAATGGTACAGTAATATCCCATGTTTCAGTAAGTCGCAGAACATGCTTATCGAAATAAAGTTTAAAAAACAGGCCTCATCCAGGTGTTATAGGAAGTTTAAAATTAGCCCATGGGTACTCTAAAACATTAAAGGAAAATGTTAGTCTACAGCACCGCTGTTATGATTTTCTAACAGAACACTATCCGTACATTTCTTCTGCATTAATCCCTGACCCTGGGATCTCAGCAGCATAATCCCCATTTAGCATTAGTAGCAACGGCTTCTACTGTGAGGAACTATTTTTTGATAAGTAAGCACTGATTCAGGCATAGCTTTTGAACAACATATTCCCAGCTCAGCAAGAAACCCACACTCCTGAATGAACCCGAGCACATTACTGAGAGAAAGTTCATTAACCTTGCTAGATTCAGAGGTTAGCAAGATAGCTGAAGAAAGGAACTGAGTGAATAGCTCTGATGCAAAACAAATTAAAATGAATGTCATCATTCCTTTTGATATTCATTAGTTGATTCAGGGGGAGAATGGTCTTCTTAAATTTGCAAGCATTTATCTACAAAAAACAGGTGTACATCTGCTGCTCAAGTGCTTCTTAGTGCTAAAGAGAAGAATAACATACAGAGACTCACCAGTTCCACTGAGGGAGTAGCTAGGAGAGGGAGAAAAGACCTGAGCTGCAAAATCCTCAAATGTCATTACTTCTTTGTGATTCTGGATTATTGCTTCAAGATACAGAGCTCTCTCCTCATAGCTGCAATAACCAGGTTAAGGAAATGCACCCACAACATTAAATGCTACTACAGCATGTCTAAGAATGCTAACAGTTTAATCTGTACCAATACGTGCAGAGAGCTGTATCACCTGTGTGAAAAAAATGCCTCTCAAAATTTCATAGAAATGATGACAATTTCTAAGAACAAGCACCAAAATGTATCAACACTGCAACGATCTATCATAACAATATCTTTTTCAGCTGCAGTATCAAGATCATTACTGAAAAGTTATGGCACGGGATGAATCCAGGGAATCTCTGAAGTTAGTGGGGTTTATAACAAAAACATTATTGATATAAAGTGAAAAGTATAATTTTAACAGAAATATTGGAGCTTCCTGAGCATATTCCTGGCTGATAATATTTTTATTCAATGTTCTTTTTCAACCTATAAAAAACATTATGTTAGGATTTCAAGAAACAGGGAAAGAGAAAATTGATGCAACTGATCACAGCACTTTCTGACATAAAGAAGAATACAACAATAACATTCTTGAACTGTACAAAGTTTACATTTAAGTTGTATGTTAGAAGCTGTCATCTGATGTATCCTAAATGAGTGATACAAATTAAGAAAATAAGAACATGCATACAGCATAATCTGCATAATACAGACAACAAAGCAATCTAAAATCAAGACTATTGCCTTTTAATTAAAGCTTGGCAACCTGGAACACGCAGCATTCAAATGTGTAATCAAAAACCAGTCACCAATAAAACTTACAAGCGTAACAAGCTGAAGCAACTTTCCAGCTGTCTTAATAGGACCCCTGCTTGCAGCAGCTTTTCACAGAGGAGAAAGCAAATCTTTTCCTTTTGTGTGCAGCTTCTGTTTTCTCAGAAGGTGAATCACGCACTTCCAATAACAGGATAACGTCTGAAACAAATCTACAATGGATTGAAGAACCTCACATATGACTTTATGAATTAACATTCGAAGAAGCCAGTATGACATCTCATTCCCCATTTCCTGCTCTAAAAAATGAGTTTTCAGATTTTCATTGTGTTTTTGTCACACAGAAATGTATTCCAAATCCACCAAATAGTGTTAAGTAGGGGGAAATGACAATTTATAATTAGCAAATTACAAGAAGATGGAATTTCACCAGCAACTCAATATAATTTAGGTGATTTTTTTAAAAATTAAAACCCCTTCATCACTCATTAAAATTATTTCAAGGTGCCATTTGTGGCTTTTGCTACATTAGTAATGACACTTTGAAAATGTCTTTGTCCTTTGTAATTCAGAGCTAAATAATGCTTTGAAAGACAATACACAATATCTAGTGCCCTACCTCAGTGGGGATAATCAATGTGTTTATGTCTTAATTATATGCAAGTTCCTGGAGTCACTGTGCTTAAAACAGAACATTTAAAAAATAAAGATTTTCATGCTAACAGAGGCAGAAACCTCTGTTGAGAAATCTTTCTGTAAATTTTCTTTAGGAAACTAAAGTAAGAAAATGAATACTTAGCATTTTAGTGATTGCACCTGCTGACAATTTTATTTGCTTATTTTCTTTTTAAGCCCAAGAGAACACATTCCTGATAGCACAAGCATTAGGCTGAACATATCTGGGACTGCTTCACTATTATAGGCTGAACTCCTGATGACTCTTGTTAATGAATAGGCTGCCAAACTTCCTAAGAGAGGAGGCACACGCCTAGACCCTATTCTAAAGGGACTGACTGATGCCATTCACATCTCATTATGAACATGCTTATTCTGCACAGCACTTGGCTGTTGCCAAGGCTCTGTATTCCATACTGCCACAGCAAGCCGCTGGTCCTGTTAACAGCAGGATGTTAGGCCTGAGTGGCCGTCTGGCGAACAGGCACTCTGACACTAAGCTGGCACGTGCTGGCGCAGCAGGAGCAGACCAAGGCGTGACAAATTACTGAAAGAGCTAAGCTAAACTTATGGCTGACAACCACCTGAGCCTTAGGACCTCTATGGGCCTGCCATCAACTCTCAATTCATTGCTCACCCTTTTAGTCTGCAGCCTGCTTGTGGGCCCAGTTTAAACAAGGCAGATACACTATAAAGGCTTTTCATGCTATGCCTAATAATATCCTGCTGTTTAATGAAAGGCCTTCCACATCTAACATATAAGCATACAATGCAATGAACAACTGCTAACAAAATAGAAGTTCGTATGCATTTTGCTAAATATTGCATGGAAAGATCGCAAGAGGTGGCACTGGTGACGTGAATTCAAATCAAAATGAAATGACTCATGAAACTCCTATTTATGAGGGAGGGGGGAGATTTCCCTAAGCGTGGAAAAAGATTAAATAACAGTTGGTTAGTTTACAGCAACCGCATTTGAAAAATAATATATGTATAGGGCTCAAAAAGCATCCAGAGGTCGACAAAGATCTACCAGAAACTTAAAAGGAGGCAGTTTTAGGTAAAAACACCTACTATTTTTATGCATATTTCTTGCACATGAAAATAAAGGAGTAAGTACGCTACCTGTAGCTATAGCCAAGGCCAGCATAGAGAGGGATTGTATCAACTTCCCCCTCACTGCTCTTCTCTGGCTTCTCTTTCCTGAAATCAAGATGCATTTTATTCCAGTCTCTGGCTACCCTCGAGGTCTGACTGTTAATAACACCAAGTCACAGTGACTTTTGTGACAGGGACAGAAATCCAAGAGCGATTCACATGAAAGGATCACTCATTTTCACTTGTGGTGTAAGTCAGGGAGTGTTAAGTGACAAAGAGAAAATTAACCTAATTCACTGTTACCACAATTTTACATGCAAAAGTATTTAGAAAGGTATTTTTGGACAGAAATAGTCTTATGTAGGTCTCTTAAAAATGACAGATGATCTGGGAGGTAAAAAACCCTAACTGTTTGAATGTAGACTGTAAAGGATAATGACAGCCCCATATGAGGAAGTGGCCTTTCACAGTAGCAGTTATTTTTTAAATAAAAGCCATTCTTACAAACATAAACTGGTTGGTTTTCAGAGAAATTTTCTGCAAAACCGAAAGCCTCATCTTTGCTATAAATCCCCCTTTATCCCTCAGGCCAAATCTACATTAGAAACACTTCGCTGATATGGCCATACAAAACACTCCTATAGTACATGCAGTTTATACTGACAAAATGGCATCACTGCTGAGATACTTTATTCTGGTCTCTCCCTCCCTCCCAGCAAAAGCCCTGTTTGCTGGGATAGCTACATTTGCACTCCAGGGTACTGCAGGCTCTGCTGGTTGGTCAGCAATCATTCCTCCTTATACCACCTCCTAAGCTACAATGGCAGAAATCTGCAGTGAAAACCTGGGCTTAGACCCACTTTAAAAGTGTCAAAAAGAGTACTTTATCTGAGGCAAAAAGGAGAATGGGAGGACTTGCAGGGGATGATTTCAAGAACTGCTGTACAGCTAAACCTAAAACTAAAGCTTAACTATTAATTATGTGAGCTTTGGTCACAGCTCATCGATGGTCCCAATTCTGTAAGCCCGCACCCTGTTGTACATGCCAGTGAGCCATCCCATCGTACATCACTGCCCACTTGCAGCATGGAGTCAGTGTTTTTACAGTGCCATGGAAACTAACATCTCTTTTTTTTTAAACATGAAATATGCCACTAACAAAATATCACCCCCATCAGCACTAGTTCATTGCTGTGCTTGAAGCTGATTAGTGCTGGGGGAAGCGTTGCTGCTGGCTGGCTCCCTTGCGGCCAGATTGCTGAGGAGAAGCATGCGAACTGTTTCGCTGAGATGGTCCAATGCCATGGAGCACAGGTTGTGCTCTTGAACCCTGCCCTAGTGAAGAAGCTGGACAGCTGGCTTCCCTGATTAACTAAACCCCCATTTATCTGAAGGTTTTGGGTGTCCCCTGAGAGCTTCAGATGAATGAGGTTATACTGGACGTTCAAAGGAGCTGATCAAAAGCAGCTCTTTTTAATATGTATGCCAATTTGACCACTTCTTAATACCTCTCAGTAATGGAACTGCTCACTATTCCTACACAGACGCTAGTCATACTGCATTTGGTATTTATTCTTTGTTGTCTCAGTGTTACTGATGAAATTCAAGTTGTTAAATATATATTGAAATCACTAGGATTATTTCATGTTTTGTTCCTACCACGAAGGCCAAATTCTGGAATAAAATGTTTAGAAAAGCCACATTTTTATTTGTGTCATGCACTAAATGCATTGTGTGACATGCACTAAATATGTTTTATATTTAAGGAGTGAGCTATGAAAAGGTGTGAAGACTGGACACAATTATGTACCAAATGTGTGGTATTAGAAATAGGGCTTCAAATCACGGTCCTGTAAATAACTCCCAATATAGATATATGTGCCCAGTAAGAGAGAGTATGGAGTTTGTATATTGTGATTTTAACATGTTTTTTTATAACATGTTACAAGCTAACACTTGTAGACCTAAACTATTGCAAAAGATATTAACATGTTAAAATTACCGTGCTGAAACAAAAAGATCTCAAGTAATCACAAGCACTGGAATGATCTGCGAAATGTCCAATTAAGAAAAGATTCAGGAGATTCTTCCACACTGGACATTCAATATGAGGAAAAGGAGAAAGTTGAAGTTCCCCTCTCCAGCTATAAATCCTTTTGCAGATATAAATATAATTTGGTTGCACTGGACATGAAGGGGAGACAGGAACAAGAGCTGTCTATAGGGGAAATGTCAACCAGTTTAATTCAACAGGCCCAGTTCTGTGATGAATATTAAAGGCTAATTTAGCGTGAGATAAAACATGGGGGGGGGGGGGGGG